CCCCAGCTCTTCAGTCATCCTTGTCATGGTGAGGGAGCTTTGGGCCCTTGCTTTGGAAGGACCATACCCTCCAGAGTGGGCTGGGATCCTGGGGGCCTGCCCTCCAATTCTGACAACCCTCCTTGCTGGCCCCCCGCTCTGTGTGGTGATGAGTTTCCTGGTGTCAGTCATCATTTTACTGTGCCATCATCAGCAATGGCTGATGCCTTTTCACACAGGTAACCCCATGTCCATGACCTGAGTGTGTGCCCCTTTGGGGGTAGCAGAGGGTGGGGGCACTGTTCTAGACTCGAGGCACAATATGGTTCGTCTTCAGATTCCTCCTACCCCTACCCACCAGGCTGGGCTTCAGGTGATGGCCATAGGTCTGCCACAATCAGCAGAACTGTGCTCAACCTGGTACTGATCCTCCTCTTGGGTCAGGTCTGTTACTTGCTGGCTGAGCAGCTCACCGGGTGGGGTGGGTGAGGGCAGGGGCTCACAGGGGTGCCCAGGAATCATTTGAGTCCTGGGAGCCCTGAGGCAAGGCTCCATACACCTCAAAGCCTTCAGCTCCCATCTTGGTGTCCCCAGCCTACTCAGCCATCCTCAAATGAAGATGGCCAGGGGCGCGTGGCTGGCATTAAGTGCAAGTGGGTTGGGGACAGAAGCATATGGACTGACCCTGCTAAGCTGTGCCTTCCCCCTTACAGCCAATAGAACTCTGACCATCTCTACCTTTTGCCCAGAGATGCACAGAACCCAGACCTTCCACGAAGACCTTCACTTTCAGAGTCTTCTTCTTTGAGTTTGTCGATTTTCTACTTTTCCTTCTACATGGCATTCTTCAAAGGCAGGGGAGGACCCCCTACCCCACCCGGGGCTGTTGCCTCACAACAAAGTGGGCCGACAGAGTGGCATCATCCTTGAACCTCCAGATTTGTTTCTACCAAGGTCTTGCCGTTGACCTTGAAATTGGTCCTCGATTTCCCTGGGCTTCAATTTTCTCAACTGTAATGTGCTAACACATCATTGGGTCAATATGAAACTTCGACACCTGCATTCATCATTCACTCAGCCCTCAAGGTGGCCCAGGTCTGACACCCCACTTCTCAGCGCTGCCGTTTGTGTTCATTGCCATCTCTGTGGCAGGTTTCCTGCTGGCACCCCTCTTTGCTGTGCTCAACAACTGGGTGGAGATCCGACTTGGACACCCACAAGTTCGCTGTGAGTATCCACCGCCGGTGGCTAAGCAGGCACAGGACATTGGAACCTGTCTGCTTCCGCTTGAGGCTCCGGCCCACCTTCTGGTCATTATGAATGTGAGCATGGGGCGGAAGAGGGGAATACAGGGGCAGAGGGGGAAATGGAGATTAGAGACTGGGAAAGGTGGCTTAGGAATAGGGAAACGGGTGCTGAATTCCAGGGTCAGAGATAGAGAAATAGAGGCAGGGGGCTAGGGTTCTGGGCGCTGGCTCATCTTGCCCACACAAGTGGGTGTGGGCCCAGCTGGAGGTGAGTTTGGAGATTGGGCCCTGGAATCCCTCTGGCCCTGCAGGCTTTCCTCCTCGTCGCCTTCACCTCGGACTTAACGCGTCTCCTGTACGAGTACGAACACTACAGCCTGCTGTATGTACAGCTTTGTCAACTTCACACCTGCACCCACACCTCCAGCCTACCTTGCCCAGGAGGACCACTGCCCTGGGAGCCTTCAGGCTGCGATCTGGGCCTCCCTGGGAGGGGCGGGGCTCCGGAGCCCGGGGCCCGGCGGGGCCTGGCTGGGGGGCGGGGTGCTGAATCTGGAGGCCGAGCGGGGAGCCGGTGGGAGGGGTGGAGCGGGGCCTAACTGGGAGGACCGGAAGTTGAATCTGCGCGGCGGACTGCCGGGCCGAGCTGAGGGGGTACGGGCTGAGGGGGCGGGGCCAGGCTCCAGGGAGGGTTGGGGAGGGAGAGCCTCGCGGGACCCCGCGCGCTCCTCAGCTCAGGTACGCGGCCTTTCGCGCGACGCACAGGAAAGCTGCTGGCCGTGCGTCTGGGTTTCACCATCTCCTTCCAGGTATTTGTGTATCGGACAGACCCGACCAGCTGTAAACGGGGCTATGCTATAGAATAGAATCTAGAGGGTCGTAGTGAAGATTCGGTGTCACGCATTTGCACAGCGCCCAGCACATTGCAGCAATTAGCACGACTACTATTATCTTTAGGCAACAGAGCTGGACGAAGGCGAGGAGGCCTGACCCCTCCAGCTTTGCTCAGGATCCTTCCTCCAGCCCTGCCTCTCCATCAGGTCCCTAGTGTTATACCTGTGTCTTTGGGCAAATGATAACTGCTTTATGCTTCAGTTTCTTCACCTGTAAAACGGGAACAGTAATTGTACTCCCCTCCTGGTGTTGCTTGGAGGATTGAATGAATTAATACCCGGGAAACCCTCAGAATGGTGCCCTGCACTTATACGTTCAGCTAGCTAAGGGACTCATTCTCTCTTTGGCTCCCCCTCCCCCCAGCATGCGGTGTTCTCCGTGCGCCTCCTCGCCTGGCTCGAGCCCGACGTGCCAGCCGCCCTGGTTGCCAAGGTAAAGCGCGAAGCGCTATCCGGCGGAGCAGGAGCCTGCGGACGACCGGGAGTCGCTGCTTTCGGTCCGCGCTGCTAACGGATCCTGGCTCCTCCCCCCTCTGAGCCTGCCCTCCCCCTCGACCCGCCCTCAGACCTTAGCTCCGCCCCCTCTTGCTCCGCCCTCTGGTTTGGCCTCTCCTGGAGAGAGAATTGGCCGGGAGTCCCTACGGTTTCTGCCTGGCCCCGCCCCTCACCAAACCCCGCCCACGCCACGCCCCTTCTATTACATTCTCCCCACCTGCGTCCCCTCTGCTCTCGAAGGCCCGCCTATTCACCCTGACCAAGCCACCATGCTTTCTGTCCTGTGCAGCAGGGGCTCTGTCCCCAGAGCCCAGGAACAGGGGCGAGTGGGGAGGGGACTTCCAAAAACGTGGATTCCCCAGATGCTTCCTTCCATTTGGGGTCCTCTGCTTCCGGCTGGGGTCTTGGGCAGTACCTTGGCCAGCGGCCCCAAGGTTGGCCTGGGATATCTCTAGGGAGACCGTTAGTCCTGCATTGCCTTCCTCTCCCTGTCCCCGTCTCCTGCTCTGTGTTCAATGCGGGCAATAAACCTCTCTCTGCCCCCCAGCGTGCCACCTCCCCATAGACGCCTGGTTCCCGCACCTCCCCATAGACGCCTGGTTCCCGCACACACTGTGTAGTGTGTCTTCACTATGTCGGGATGTTCTGGAGGCCAAGGGAGTGGAGGGACCCTAATCACTCGGTATTGAATGGTCACCAGTTGGTGGGGGAGAGTTCGTTGGGATCTGGGCCCAGGACACCTGCCCATTATGCTCACGGAGGCCTGCAGTGTACGACTAAGAGTAAAGGGTTTAGTAGGGAGAGCTGAGACACCTCCCCACGGATGTTTGCACACTTTTCGCCAGATCCTCCCCCAAAGCCTGGTGATGCACTCCTTTGTTAAGGACTCAGGTTGGTGGTTGGGTCAGAGACCTGGGTTTGAATATTAGTTCTGACACCTATTGGCTGCACGACCTTGGGCAAGTTATTCATCCCTTGAACCTCAGTTTCATATCTGTAAAATAGAGACTTCATAGAGCCAACGAGAGATTTAACGCATTTAATGTGATACCTCCCCTGATTTAACCCGTACAAGCCTCCTGTCCTCATGTGATAGCGGGAGCAGTAACAGTATCGACCTCATAGGGTCGTGGCAGAGATTAAATGAAACTTTTCAAAAGTCTGCAGCTCTGTGACTTGGCTTTCCCCGAAGATCTGTATTACTACGTGTTTTTGCTAACCGGAAGAAATCCAAATAACGTTTTTGCTTTTACGGAAAAAGGTGAAAAGGGAAAATAGCATTTGGCACGCAGCGACCCCCCGAGCAGAGAGCCTGGCCCCACCAAGCTTTGCCCTGGTGCGACCCTCAGCATGTCATTATCAAGCCACCCGAGCTTTGTGCTTTATCTCCATCTATTTTGTGCATCTGTTAGCAAGATATGTCCTAAAGTATCAGAAAAACCCAAGAGAGGTTATTTTTGGGGGGTATGGAAGTGCTAAAAACATTTTTCCAAATAAATGAATGACGATTGCTTCTTCGCTGCACGTCGTTTTGGCTTAGGAAAGATTTCACAGGAGCGCTCTACTTTTGGATAGGGAGGGAACATGTAAATCAGTGTGTGAAGTGCTCGGAACAGTGCCTGGCACATAGTGGACAGTAAGTTATTAGCAACACGAGTATTGGTATTTGTGTACGTATTCATATTACTACTATGTGCCTGGCAACTACCGAGTGCTTAAATGAATGGCAGAGAGTATTAGGAAGAAAGCAGCTGGCCGTAGAGTAGGCCCTCCTTACTGGAGGCTGGTTCTACTTGGGCTGTTGGTTTATTGAGGGCTCATTTGGTGTGGACTAGAGTCTGGGAAGGCTTCCTGGTGGAGGAGGCCATTGGAAATGGCAAAGGTGGGTCATTCCAGGCAGCCGGGGTGGATGGGTCATTCATGAGAGCAGTGATGCTGGAAGGGCCGGCCAGGATGGTCCTGGATGTATCATGTCACCAAACTTTCACGATTTCCATCTCCCCGCCCTAGAGATGAGCATTCCCATTTTATAGATGCGGTAGCCAGCTCAGAGAGGGTCAGCAGAGGGGGAGCTGCAGAGTTCTCAGGGTCCCTGAGGAGTCCAAGGCTCGGGAGGTTCTCTGTGAAGCCCCTCCACTCCCGGCGTGTCTCACGTTTGGGAAGCTCCAGAAAAGGGGGTGACATGTTTCCCAGGAGGAAAAGCAGTGCTTCCCCCATCTTTAGGACATCGGTCTGGGGTCCTTCGGAGCCTCTCCGGGGCATAGGACTCCTATTGTTCCAGCCCCCCTCTAGTACCCCAGACTGGCCAAACCGGTTCTGAGGAAGGGGGGCGGGGAGCAGGCACGTTGAGACAGCCGTCTGCCCGCCTGCGAGGTTCCCTCCGCCTTCGCCTCCCCCCTCCCCGCCCCACACAATACCCAGGAGCTTGCACTGCCCGGCTCGGGGGCCATGCCGACATCGCCCCCTGAGGACCCGGCTACAACCCCAGAGCCCCCAGGTGGTCTGGAGCCCTGGACCGTGTCGGAGGCTGGACGGAGCTCCCTGGCTGAGGTAGGGCCCCACCCTGCTGCCTGCAGCCCCACCCCTCCCGTCAGTCGTTCCAGAGTGAGTCCTTTGTGCTGCTTGCCTGGTCTCTGATCCTGGCTCCCACCCACTTATGGCCTCCTGGGGCTCCACAGCCCGTTTGGCCTAGATCCCCTTTCCAGCCACGACCTGCCACTTGGCTTTGTCCCTTGAGGGGCAGAGGGGCTGTGGCAGGGCCCTACTGCTCTGGGCATTGGGACAAGGGGCACCAGAGAGGGAGCAGGGAAAACCCGGGCACAGGAAGCCAGAGGTGCTCTCCCTGGACCATGGTAGTATCCAGAGACCCTCTCTGCCAGCCTTGCCAAGTGGGCCTATTGTCTGTGTGATTAGCAGTGCCCACTGGATGGGACCCTCCCTGGCCCCTGCCCATCCTTCTCTGCCTGCAGAGACACTCATGATGACACGGGTCTCCTAGAGAGGGCAGCCAGGAGGGCCCTTATGTGCTACTTTACAGATGGGGACACTTGAGGCCCAGAAACAGGCTGTGACTTGCCTAAGGCCACACAGCCAGTCAGGGTCAACACTGGGCTTGAACTCTGGCAGTGGCTTTCCCCTGTGGGTTCCAGAATGACTGTTGGCACTGGAATATCCTGTGATCGTGTCTGGGGCACGGAATGTCCCTGCTACTTGGGGCCAGTTCTCTTCCTGTGGCTTTTTCCGCCCCCCCGGGGGGCGGGGGGGGGGGGGGCCCGCCCGCCACCAGCAGAGATGAGCTACACGTAATATGAACAGAGCTCTACTCCTCCTTGGTCCCCCAGCACTGAGGTTGAGTGGGCCACATCTTTGGAAGGCCACAGCGCTGGTATCTCAGCCTGTGTATCCCCTGGTATCCCAGGGTCATTCCCATTGCCCTTTGGTCTGGACAGAGGTGGAGGCTGACTCACTCCTGACTTCCTCCCCCAGGGACCTACCTCCAGCCTGTCTCTCCAGAAAGCCTTCTACCGCCTTTCCCTCAGCGTTCACCCAGCCTTCTCCTCTAAGTCTTTAATACGCGGGTGCTCCTGCCCCAAGGCTTCCATGTTTTTGCCCATTTATCCCTGTAACTCAGAAGGGTATAGGGGATGTGTGCTCCCTGCCTTCCAGGAGCTTCCAAAATCCAAGTGGAGAGGCTCACCCAGAATGCAAGGGAATAGAATACTGTGAGTCCTTACAGAAGCAAGTAGGACTTCTATGTTGAGGACTTCAGATTCCTGGAGAGAAAGAGACCTCTCTGGTGGGCAGTGGTCTCGTGTCTCATTCCTCATGCTCCTACAAAGAAGATGGATCTCATCCTCACTGCCTCACTTTCCCCATCTGTGTGATGGGGGCAGTCAAGCCACCTGCCTGACTAGAGAAAGACTAATCACAATACTCAGTAGAATGACTATCAACTACAAAGCTCCCACTATGTGCTAGCTGCATTGTACATGCTATCACGAATTCTCATATTCGTGTTTTATTATTATTTTTTTAACATTTATTCATTTTTGAGAGTGAGAGAGACAGAGCATGAGCAGGGGAGGGGCAGAGAGAGGAGACACAGAATTCGAAGCAGGCTCCAGGCTCTGAGCTGTCAGCACAGAGCCTGACGCGGGGCTCAAACTCACAAACTGCAAGATCATGACCTGAGCTGAAGTCAGACGCTCAACCGACTGAGCCACCCAGGCGCCCCTCACATGCGTGTTTTAAAGTTGGCACGACTAGCCTATCTACCAGATGAGGGAACAGAGATGTGCTCAGATGGACAGAGGTTTAAAGTACAAGCTAAAGCTGTGCCTGTGGGGAGGGCCTGGACCCTTAGGAGTAACTGTCTCTCGGGAGCAGCCCCACCCCGCCCCAGGCAGGGACTGAAGAGAGCAGGGGAGCAGTTGGGCGCCTGTGCAGAGTGGTCCCCCACTGGGTCCTCTTCCATCCCTCTCTCCCAAGGTCACTGACACTGTCACTGTTCCTCTCAGGTCAAGATTTTCTCCCTCTCTATGTTTACCGGGTCCCTGGGTATTTCGGCTGGAACAGTTTGTCATTACTTCCTCCAGGAAGCCTTCCTGGAATGCTCAGGTCAAGTTGAGCGCCGATGGTTCCTCTGCCTGGGCCCCTGCCAACCCAGATTGTAACTGTTTTCAGTTTCAACTCCCTCACTGGACTGGCAACCCCGCGGGGCACGAAACATTTGTTCATCTGTCTCCCCGGGTTTCTCTGTGCTTCTCATCTCTCTCTGAGTATCTGGTCTGCGAAATTTTCGGTGTCTCTGTCTCTCTGTCTCCATCTCTGGGTCCCTGAATGTCTTGGCGTCTGTGGTTTTCTGGGTTTGAGTCTTTTGGGGTCTCCGTTCCGAGATGCTGCCTAAGGGGTCTCTGTATCTCTGGGTCCCTATCTCTGTCTCTGTCCTCTGGGTCTCCCTGCCCTGCCAGGCTGGGCACTGCTCCTTTGGCCTGAGGGGGCCCCTGGGGGGGTGGGGGTCCATGCTGCCCCGCCTGCCCACAGTGAGGCCAGGCTAGGGTAGGCCCCCGCCCAGCCCGCTGCCTGCTCCCTCCCTCCCTACCGCTTGCCTCACCACAGGGTTTGATGAATCAAACTCTTTGTCTGGGTGGGATCTCCCCCAGCCAGCTGGGCAGAGAGAGGGCTTCCCCTGCCGGAGCAGAGCAACATCAGCAGAGGCCCTCGGCTCGAGAGGTGAGGGGGCTGCAGGAGGGCAGCCAGAGGAGGGCCACGGGGGAAGGGCTGTGGGGGCCGCGATCCCTCAATCAATAGGCCTGTCCCGAGGCTCCGGCGGACTCCTTGGCATGACTTCCTGCCCAGAGAGGACCCGGTCAGCTGGCTTGATCCCGGGGGCTGGGGGCTGGGGCAGGGAAGGACCCCTTCTCTCGCCCCAAGCCGGGGAGCGGGGACATCTCCCTGCCCTTCTCCTGGGAGGGCCTAGCCTGATCTGGGTGGTGGCCCGCCTGCCAGTCCGTGACCCTCCCAGCCAGCTTGGCAGGGTGTGGGCACCACTCAGCGTTGAAGGCTGTAACTCTGGGCACGGGAGAGGAGGTTGGGTAACACCAAGGCAAGGACTTCTGGGCCCGTGTGTTTGTGTCTGGATCCTGGTGTGTGAGTGTGAATGGAACAGGAGTGAGAGCTCGAGTGGATACACAAGTATCTGATGGGTCGGCATGTGTGTCTGTGTGTGTGTGTATGAGAGACAGAGAGTCGGTGTGAATGTATGTAGTCGGGTAAAAAGTGTGTGAATGTGAGAGCCTGCGAACGTGAAATGTCTGAGTGTATCTGTGAAAGTGTGTATGTCCGTGCGTGTCCTTGGAAGAAAGCGTGTGTGCAAGTCCATGGAACATACGTGTGTTTGTGTGACAGCGTAGGTACCTGTATGTCTGAGCCTGTGTCGGCGAGAGCTGGAAGTGTGCGAGGTGGTTAAAAGCGCAGCCTCAGAAGCTACGCTGCCTGGCTTTGAATCCTGGCTTCACCACATACCAAAGGACCTCTGTGCCTCGCTCTCCTCACCTACAAAATGGGGATGATAATAGCATCAGCTCAGGGTTGTTGTGCAAATGCAATAATATATCCAAAGCACTTGGCCCGCCATTCGGTAAGTGTCAAATGAGTAGGAGCTTCAGTGGGAGCTATTGCCATGCAGTTGGGCGTGTGAGTGTGCTGGTACAGATGTGGGTGCACAAGGGTTTGTCCAGGCCTCCAAGACAAAGGTGGCCTGCTGGCCAGCCCTGCAGTTCCAAGTCCGCCTCTGACACCTTTTCCCCTACAGGTCCAGGTGGGTGGCAGAGCAAAGGAGGAATGGACTGTGGGCCACCTGCCACCCTCCAGTCCCACCTGGCCGGGCCACGCGGCACTGCCCGCCGCCCAGTAGCTGTGTGCCAGCAGGAGAGTCTGTCCTTTGCAGAGTTGCCCACCCTGCAGCCCCCGAGCCCTGTGTGTCTGGATCTCTTCCCCGTCAGCCCAGAGGAGCTGCAGGCTCCTGGCAGCCGCTGGTCCCTGGGGACCCCTGCTCCTCTCCAAGGGCTGCTATGGCCACCATCCCCAGGAGTCTCAGACAGCGAGATCTCCACCAGTGGGGGAATGCGGCCCAGCAGGGCTGGCAGCTGGCCACACTGTCCCAGTGCCCAGCCCCCAGCTCTGGAGGGACCCTGGAGTCCCCAGCACCCACAGCCACAGCGCCGGGCCAGCCACGGCTCAGAGAAGAAGTCAGCCTGTGAGTCACTCTGGGTGGTGGCCCAGTGGGGCAGATAGGGGAGAGGCTGGGTGGTTCTTTCGGGACTCTTAAGCCCCTGAGTTCTCCAAACAGGCAGGACAAGTGGTAGGTTTTAGTGGTAAGGGAAGGAACTGGAGCTCAGGGAGGACAAGTGACTTGTTGGATGTTGCACAGCAAATGAGCGGCTGCCCTGGGCTCCTTGGCCCCTTGCCCACTGCAGTCAGGCACTGTGCTCTCTCTACCCCTCTTGCTGATCCCATTTTTTTTGGGGGGGGGCCCACATCCTGGCAAAAACATTGGCCTTTCCCTGAGGCGTGTCCTTCAGATGCTCAGGGCCACAGGGTAGCAGCAGGCAGGAGTAGAGAGAGCGCCCAGTGGATGGATGCCAGCCTGTGCTCTCACCCCACTTGCCTGCAGGGCGCAAGATGCGGGTGTACCAGCGTGAAGAGCTCCCTGGCAGCCCTGAGGCCCATGCCGTCTTCCTGGAGCCTGGCCAGGCAGCAGAGCAAGCCCTGAGCACAGAGGAGCCTAGGCCCCTGGAGCTGTCTGCGCCCTCCCGGTTAGGCCTGGAGGGGCCTGAGCGGAGGCGCTTCTCGGCCTCTGAACTGATGACCCGGCTGCACTCTTCCCTGCGCCTGGGGCGAAATTCAGCAGCCAGGGTGCTGACCCCAGGGTCAGGCACTGGAGCAGCTCGGGAAGGTACCAGCTTCTCCCCTGGGCCCTAAGAGCAGGCCATGAGCCAGATGCAGCAGGGGCCCCGGCCCACACCTGAGACTGGGTGCTGGACAGCTGGAGGATGGCACCCCAGGTGCCCAGCGCCATTCTTGGAGCCACCCGCCCTCAGCTCTCGCTCTCTCCAGGGAAGGTGTCCGGAAGGGAGTCGCGCGGTGTAGAGACGAGGGCGGACGGTACGGCGGCGATGCCAGCCCCTGTTGAGCTGAGCGGCGGCCATAGCGGCTGGCCCGAGCCCAGGTACCATCTCCTACTTCGAGCTCGGCCCGAGGAGGGGTGCAGGCGAAGAAGGGCCCTGACACCGTCCCTTTCTTAGGCTGGACGCGCAGGAAGAGCTGGCTCTGGGTTCCAGGAGCGCCAGCGAGCGGCGCCAGTCCCGGTTTCTCCTTAACAGTACGTGGGAGGAAGGGCTGGGGGCCCGGGGGGTTGGGGGAGTTCGGAGGTTGGCATCTTGCGAGAGAGGGAGGGAAATGAATGTCAGCAGCAAGCACGCGGCGGCTGGCACGCAGGGGGCGCGCCAGCCGCGTTGACGGAACGGATGAGGGAGGGAGGGAGGGAGTGCGTGCCCGAACCTTCCGAAAGGCGCGCTTAGGGAGGCGGGCTCTCGGGGAGCCGGGCAGGAGCCGGGCCGGGCAGGCGGGCGCCCCACGGCCCTCCCCCGCCCCTCTCCCCGCCCAGCGGTCCTCTACCAGGAATACAGCGACGTGGCCAGCGCCCGCGAACTGCGGCGGCAGCAGCGCGAGGAGGAGGGCCCGGGGGACGAGGCGGAGGGCGCGGAGGAGGGGCCCGGGCCGCCGCGCGCCAACCTCTCCCCGAGCAGCTCCTTCCGGGCGCAGCGCTCGGCGCGAGGCTCCACCTTCTCGCTGTGGCAGGACATCCCCGACGTACGCGGCAGCGGTGTCCTGGCCACGCTGAGCCTGCGCGACTGCAAGCTGCAGGAGGTGGGCGCCGGGGGTCGGCGGGGCGGGGTGGGCGGGGCTGCCCGCCGGGGAGGTGGTGCTGGGGCCCGCGGGGGGCGGGGCCGGGAGGACGAGGTCCCGGGACTCGGCGGGGCCCTGGGGTACCCGGCCAGTGGGACTGCGACCGGCGGGAGGTGGGCAGGGGCCTCAGCGGGGAAGGCGGGGCCACAAGGGGGCGGGGCCGGCGGGACCGTCCATGAGAAAGGTGGGTGCCGGGACCTGACTGGGTGGGCTGGCTGCCGGCGGGCTGGGAGCGGGGCGGGAGGCGAGGGCCGCAGCCGGACGAAGGGGTGGGGTGAGGGGCGGAGTCAGGCCGGGCGGGCTGAGGTGGGATCGAGAAAGCGAGGACAGGGGAGGGGCAGAGCCCTCGGGAGGGAAAACGCGTGGTGCGCGAGCGACTCTGCTGGCCTGGGACCGGGGGCGGGGCTAAACGCAGGGCTCCCCGCGGAGGGGCAGGGCCACTGGAGGACTAGGGCCCCGCCCAGTGGGTGGAGCCAGGGGCTCAGTCTCGGTCTTCGGTTGGGTTTGAACAATTGCGCGCGGCTGGCCATGGGTCCCCTGAACCCGCCTGCCCCCAGGTATTCGGAGGTGGGGCTGGAAAAGGGGCGGGGACACGAGGGTGTGGCGTCTAACGCGGTGGTGGCCAGGGCCGGCGCAGCCGGGGGGTGGGGGGGTGAAGGGGCAAGGAGGGGGAGGAGGGCGGGAGGGAAGTGAGGTCAGGGATGGGCCGTTCCGGCTCTTTCAGCCCCGCGTCCACCCACACTCAGGCCAAGTTCGAGCTGATCACGTCCGAGGCCTCATACATCCACAGCCTGTCGGTGGCCGTGGGCCACTTCTTGGGCTCCGCTGAACTGAGCGAATGTCTAGGGGTGCAGGACAAGCAGTGGCTCTTCTCCAAACTGCCTGAGGTCAAGAGCACCAGCGAGAGGTGAGGGAGTGGTCCGGTCAGGGGTGTGGCGGGGGCGGGGGAGGGGGGGCCCAGGTCTGGGCTCTCTCCTTGGCCCTGACCCTGACCCCTCGCCGGACCCCTCAGGTTCCTGCAGGACCTGGAGCAGCGGCTAGAAGCCGATGTCCTGCGCTTCAGCGTGTGCGACATTGTGTTGCGCCACTGCCCAGCCTTCCGCCGAGTCTACCTGCCCTACGTCACCAACCAGGCCTACCAGGAGCGCACATACCAGCGCCTGCTGTAGGGCGGGAGGCTCGGAAGAGCGGGGGAGGAGGCGGGGAGGGGGGGGAGGGAGGGTAAGAGGGGGGTCTTAGGCAGGAGTGGGTACAGAGGACTGGGTGAGGAAGGGTGGCCTGGGAGGGGAGGAGGCCCTGAATAGGCCTCTCTGTCGAGGATGAGGTTAGATCCAGGCGCCAGAGGCAGGAGGGATGTGCTGAGAAGGCACCTGAAAAACCAAGGTGGTGGCTGGGGTCATGGATCCTGGCCGTTCGTGGGACCAAGAACCCATCCGTGACTCCAACCCCCTCCCCATCTTTCAGTCTGGAGAATCCCAAGTTCCCTGGCATACTGGCTCGCCTGGAGGAGTCTCCCATATGTCAGCGTCTGCCCCTCACCTCCTTCCTCATCCTGCCATTTCAGAGGATCACCCGCCTCAAGATGCTCGTGGAGGTACCTAGAGGGCTACAGCGAGGGCCGTGTGAGGAAAATGGTGCTGTGCCCTCCACAGCCCACGGGTACCCACGGGTGGGCAGGGTTATAGGTGGAGGTCATGGCCTGCTTCACCGCACCGACCCCACCCTCCAGAACATCCTGAAGAGGACAGCACAGGGCTCAGAAGATGAAGATGTGGCCACCAAAGCCTTCAATGCGCTCAAGGAGGTGAGCTCGGCTCCCGAGGGCCTCCCCCAAACACCCGCATATCTCTGAATGAGCCCCCGCCATCAGAGCCGCTGGTCCCCAGGAGGGAGTCTGAGGCTAGGCTCTGGGAGCCGGGGTTGGGTGGGTGGGGGGGCTGCAGGTGACCCACCCACGGCCTCCCCAGCTGGTGCAAGAGTGCAATGCCAGTGTGCAGTCCATGAAGAGGACAGAGGAGCTCATCCACCTGAGCAAGAAGATCCACTTTGAGGGCAAGGTGCGTGTCCACAGCTGGGGGGATGGGGTCCACAAAGGGGCAACTCTTGTTCCCTTCCCCCCTGGGCACTGGGAGCCAGTTCATCACTGCCCACCCCCTCCCATTCTCTGTTCTGTGCTCTTTGCCCTGCTGTCCTGGGCCTGACCTGCCCTCCCCCTTGCCTCTTCCTTCCTTCCAGATCTTCCCACTGATCTCTCAGGCCCGCTGGCTGGTTCGGCACGGGGAGCTGGTGGAACTGGCACCGCTGCCCGCGGCACCCCCTGCCAAGCTGAAGCTGTCCAGCAAGGCAGTCTACCTGCACCTCTTCAATGACTGCTTGCTGCTCTCCCGGCGGAAGGAGTGAGTCTGGGCAGGGTGGGGGGAAGGAGACTGGAGCCAAGCTCCCTTCTTGCCCACCATTGGGCTCACAACCACAGCCACCATTGGGCTCAACAACCACAGGTCAGACTGTGCTGCCCAGGCACCCCGAGCCTTGCAGACTCCCCCAGGAAAGGCAGAGATGTGAGGCAAGTCCGTTCCATTTTCCAGACCTAAGAACCAAGGGCTGGACTGTATGTGGAGGACTGGACGCTACTCTGAACCTAAGCCAAGTAGAGCAGAGATTAAGAGCTCGATCCCGGAGCCCCCGCTCCGCCCTGAGTCATGATGGTGATGGCCAACATTTGCTGAGTCTGTGCCAGGCATGCTGTGTGGATTATTCTCTGTACTTCTTTAAACATCTCCCTGGAAAGTAGGCTCCCTTATTATTCTCAAGGTCGTGGAGCTAGTAAAGGCAGGAGCCAGGAGGCCGGGTCCGTCTGATGTCGGATCCCAGGCCTTAACCGTTGTATTATCCTGTCTTCCGTCTGTAAGATAGAGACTACCAGGTAGGGAGACTCAGTGTCGCAATAATACGTGGAAAGGCCATAGCACAGTACCTGGCACATGGTGAACGCTCAGCATTAGCTGTGAGTGGTAAGTTTGGGATGAGTGAGAAGACTTTCCGAGGGAGGTAAGCCTTAAGGCTGCATGCGATGAAGAATGGACTCCTTGCACTATGGGCAGGGTTCGTTCCTGATTCATTCATTCACTCATTCACTCATTCGTTCAAATGTCCCCAAACCCCTATTCTCTCCCGGGCCCTCTTGGGTGCCAGGGACATAAAGCTGAATGAGACTTGTTTTCTGCTTACAGGAGCTCTCAGAACAATTCAAATACATCCTGATAACCACCTGGTTAGGGTTTTGATGGAAAGCATCCCCTGGCATGGGGTGAGAATCAGTAAAGCTTCAAAGAGGAAGGGACACCTGAGCTGGGTTTTGAAGCATAAATAGGACTTTGCCAGGTAGAGGAGGAGTTTGGGAGGATATATAGCAAAGTCACAGTGAGGCGTAACGGCAGATTGTGTTCAGGGGATGATGAAGCCTGCTCTGGCTGGGTTTGTAGAGGGGAAGGGCAGGAGAAGGAAGCTGGGGTGTTGAAAGTCATAGTACAGAGGTTGGGCGTCCTGAGGGCCATGGGGAGTGTGGAGAGTGAAACAGATGAGTGACGTCTTACTCCCGGCCAATTTGGGGGATGGACTGGAAGGGGAGAGACCGGAACTTGTGGTAAATGGATTCCAGGAACAATAGGGAGTTAGGATGGAGCTGCTGGCTGGGTGTGCAGGGAGAGGGAGGGAAGAGGCAGGGAGAGGGAGGCAAGGGGTGCGAATGACGGTTGAGTTTCCCCCTGGGCACCCTGATGGAGTATTTCCCCGGAATGGGGAACAGTGAAACGATCCGGTTTGGAGCTAGGCATACTGACTTCGGTTTAGATGGGTTGAGAAGAAGGAATCCGTGGGACATCCTTGACCCACCCACCTGCCCCTTCTTCCCACAAGTGTTTGTTGAACCCACACTGTGGGCCAGGCGGGACAAAGCGCTGGGATAGAGTGGGGCAAACAAGAGACAAAGTTCAGGTTCTACACCAGTTAGAGAGGCAGACCCTAAACGGGGCAGGGTCTCCTCCGAGTGGCTGTCCGTGGGCTCTTTAGAACAGGGACCCACGGGAGAGGTGCAGAGAGAACTTGGAAGCTCGCCTGGGGCAGCGACCGGCTTTTGTCACCTCCACTTCCGTCAGGGAGCCGGCAGGAACGGGGTCCCTGTTCCTGGTGGGGACGGTGCTGGCTGTTAGGGAGGTGATGTCTTGCACAGCCAAGTTTCCTTGGGGAGGGAGCCGGAGTTCTCCTTCGGATCAGAACTCACCTGTCCTGAGGGTGGGGCTGGGAGCCTGGGGATGAGCCAGGCTGACCTCACCTCCCCGGGCCCTGCAGGCTAGGGAAATTCGCCGTGTTCGTCCATGCCAAGATGGCCGAGCTCCAGGTGAAGGATCTGAGCCTCAAGCTCCAGGGCATCCCCGGCCACGTGTTCCTCCTGCAGCTCCTCCACGGGCAACACGCGAAGCACCAGTTCCTGCTGAGGGCCCGGACGGAGTGAGTGGGCCTGGGTGTGGGGAGAGAGGACCCCTAGGAGGGCATGAGGCCTTTGACCTCTGGCTGCAGGACGGTAGCCTGAGGCAGGACACGGGCGGAGCTGGCATGGGGTGGGGGGGGGCTTCTGGGCCTGCTCTGTCCTTAGGCTCAGAGCTGGGTGGGGCACAGGCTTGGGGACAGGGCTGTGGGGTGGGCCCTGGGGTGGGTCCTGAGTCTGGACATCATACCTGATTCTCCCAGCCCTGTTTCACCACTCTGGCCCTGGGAGATTGCACTTTGCGCCTTGTGACAGCTCAGCCTCCCCCTCCCTAGAAGTGAGAAGCAGCGGTGGATCTCGGCCATGTGCCCCTCCAGCTCCCAGGAGGACAAGGAGGTCTTCAGCGAAGGCCAAGGTAGCAGCCTGCTGCACCCCCCGCCCCCCCGCCATCACCCACTTCTAGGCCCACATCCCCTGGGGCTGGGTCCTTCCCTTTCCTCCAGCCCTGGTGCCATGTTGCCCGCAGGCCCAGCAGGGAGAGAGATCAGCTGACCCCGGGACAGTCGGGGCGGCTGTGCAGAACCTTGAAGGAGGGGCGGGTTTTACACACGACAGGCCGACCTCCTCTCCCCGCCCCCCCCTCAGCCATGTGCACAGGCAGCACCCTGGAGATGACAAAGCCTTTTATATCCTCCCATCTCGTCCCTACAGAAACCCACTTTACAAGCTAGAAAACAGGTTCAGAGGGGTAGAGTGACCTGTCCAAGTAGGTAGCGGAGCTGAGACTGGAACCCGGGTCTGTCTCCGTCTCTGCCCTAGTTGTAAAGAGGACAGGAACCGGCATGGCCAGGGGGTGGGGGGTGACGTAGAGGCTTCTCTCTGGGGTGTGAATGAGGCTGGTCAGCCAGAGTGCTGCCCAATCACAGAGGACCTTGAGGGAGCAGATACCAGGCAGCTATTGAAGGCTTTTGAGCAGGGGAGTTAGGGCTGAGCTAACGAAGGGAGTGGAAGGGAACTCATTTCTACCCATCCCTGCCATGTGTCAGGCCTGGTATTAGGGGCTTTTATATGCATTTACTTTACTTAATCCTCATGACAAGCCTGTTAAGTAGACTCTTCCTCCCTCCCCCGTGCCCCCTCCCATATCTGAGAAAACAGGCTCAGAAATGTTAAGTAACTTGCCCAAGGTCAAGTAGCCCATGGGTAGCAGAGCTGGGATTCAAGTCAGAATGAAGCCGCAGTGGCCACCCTCCTACCCCTTTACTTCTTCCTCCTACCCCTCCCTGCCCCCTCTTACATTCCCCTGGGGACTCCCTCACTCTCCCCTGGGCTGTCAGACCGCCCCCAGGTTCAGTGTGTCAGGACATACAAGGCACTGCAGCCAGATGAGCTGACCCTGGAAAAGACTGACATCCTGGCAGTGAGGACCCAAACCAGCGACGGTGAGAAGGGCCTCCTGGGAAGGCCTCCCTGATGGGGCTTGGGTGGGTAGGAGGTAGCTAGATGGCTAAGATATCACAGGAGAAGCTTGTGCAAGTGTTGATCAACCACAGCATGCAGGAATCGAGTTAGACAAGAGGAGGAACTTCCTGCTCATAAAGGTGTAGGATTTAGAGTGACTGATGGGGGGAGAGTGGGAAATACCCTTCGTGGAGGATGTCGGGAAAAACAGGTCAGAAGTTCATCTGCAAGGCTGCCAGAGGCAGGGTCCTTCCTGGAGCTGGGAGATGCTGGGATGATGTCACCTCGGCCCTGGGGGTGCAGACAAGGCTTGCATCAGGGCCTAGGCGTTCCCTTGCAGACCTGGCCCTGGTGTCCCTTCGATGCCACTCACGGATGCTGCTCCTGGCCTGTGTGCCTGTAGGCTGGCTGGAGGGGGTCCGCCTGGCAGATGGTGAGAAGGGGTGGGTGCCCCAGGCCTACGTGGAAGAGATCAGCAGCCTCAGTGCCCGCCTTCGAAACCTCCGGGAGAATAAGCGGATCACAAGCGCCACCAGCAAAGTGGGGGAACCCTCCGTGTGATGGGCAGCCGCGGCCTGGGACATCATGCCCGGCTCCTGGACAGGTCTGGAGGGGCCTGTTGTGTCCCGTGCCCCAGGCCATCGCGGCTGCGCCTTGGCCTGGCATCGAGAGTATAGCCTGTCTTCACGTTCCTGAAAGTCCACGCTTTGGGGCCAATGCCGGTTTCTTCCCCCGGCATAGGGACTGCACAGGTGACATATGGCAAGGACTTGGGGCCCCCTCCCTTCACCCTGCCAGACTCTTAGTCCCTCTGGCAGGGGCCTGGCTCTGGTGCTGTTGGGTGCTGGGACTTGTATGTATATATGTATATATTATCTGGGATCTTCTGGCCACAGCCTGCATGGGCCCTGGTTGCTGTGGCTTTTCTGTAAATAAACGCCCATGATGCCTTTGCTTGGAGTCTGTGAGCTGTCTGATGCTGCCCCCCATCCCCACCCGTTGCCCCACTTCCCCAACTAAAGGTCAGGGGGGGTCTCTGGCTGCCTCTCAGTGGGGATTTGTCTTTCCATAGAGTTCACATCTTTAAAAAAAAAAAAAATTTAACATTTATTCATTTTTGAGAGACAGAGAGAAACAGAGCGCGAATGGGGGAGAGGCAGAGAGAGAGGGGGACACAGAATCCGAAGCAGGCTGCAGGCTCCGAGCTGTCAGCCCAGAGCCCGACACGGGGCTCGAACCCACGGACTGTGAGATCATGACCTGAGCCAAAGTCAGGTGCTTAACCAACTGAGCCACCCAGGAGCCCCCATAGAGTTCACCTCTTAACCAGAGGAGGGTGACAGCAGGGCTGTGGTGAATTAGACTACTTTTGACTGCAATTGACAAAATTTCAGATTCAAATAGGCTTAGAGATTAAAGAAAATTTATTAGTTCTTGTGTTTGTTTCTTATAGCTTTCTGTAACAAATGATCACAAGTTAGGTGACTTAAAACAACAGAAATTTATGCTCTGACTGTTCTGGAGGCTAGAGATCTGAAGTTGGTGTCATTGGACCAAAATCCAGGTGTTGGCAGGGCTGTCCCCTGTCCTGCAGTGGGTGTGTGCTCCAGGGGAGAATTGTCCCTTGTCTGTTCCAGCTCTGGTGGGTACCAGCTTTCCTTGGCTTGTGGCCACATCACTCCAGTCTCTGCCTCTGTGGTCACATTGCCTTCTCCTCTGTGTGTTTCTGTCACATCTCCCTCTGCCTCCCAAGTATAAGGATACATGTGATTGCGTTGGGGTCCGCCCAGATAATCTATCTCATAATCCTTAACTCAAATCCCACCTGAAAAATCTATCCCCCACCTTGTGGGGCACCTTGGTGACTCGGTTGATTAAGCATCTGACTTGAGTTCAGGTCGTGATCTCACGGTTCCTGAGTTTAAGACTGCATTGGGCTCTCTGCTGTAAGCACAGAGCCCACTTTGGATCCTCTCTCTCTGCCTCTCCCCTGCTCTCTCTCTCTCTCTCTCTCTCTCAGAAATAAATAAACATTAAAAAAAAATCTATTCCACGCCCCCTTGTTTATCATATAAGATAACATTCATAAGATCCAGGGATTAGGATGTAGATAACCTCTTAGGGGACCATTTCTCAGCCTACCACAGTTCTCATAACTAAGAAGTCTATAGGCAGGTTGGGCTTCAGGCAAGGTTTGATGTCACTGAGGACCCAGCTCTTTCCTTTTTTCTACTCTGCGGTCCTTGGTATTGTTTTCATCCTAAGGCTTCCAGGAGCTTCTTCATTCACATCCAACACGGGAGGAGGAAATTGTCTTTGTCCCAGCGTTCCAAGTCAAAGTCCTGGGATGCTTTTTGATGAGACCAGCTTGGATCATGTGGCTGCCTCTAGGCTGATCACAGTGGCCAGGGGGGTGGTGTGTGTTGACAGACCTAGCTTAGGTCATGTGTTTTGTCCCTGGAGCCAGGTTGGGGAGTTATCTTTCCTGGAACCCCATGGATTCCCAAGTGGAGTTTGATGGCTCCTGCACAGGAGTGGTAGCTGCTGGGGAGGCCAATGTTCATGGAAACCCAAATCACCCGAGAGAGAAGCACCTGGGAATGAGCTTGGAGATGTAAGCACACATCGGGGGACGAGAGCCTCCTCATCCCTCAAAAGGAGGCCGTGGGGCAAAGAAACTATGAGCCAGGGTGGTCCTAGAAGACAAACGTGGGCAGATGGGGAGAAGCTCAGAGCCATGAAGAAGATTTGGGGGATGACTTTCTAACATGAGGTGGTGTAGGGGCGCCTGGGTGTGGCTCAGTCGGTTAAGCGTCTGACTTTGGCTCAGGTCATGATCTCGCAGTTCGTGGGCTCGAGCCCCGCATCGGGCTCTATGCTGACAGCTCAGAGCCTGGAGCCTGCTTGGCATTCTGTGTCTCCCTCTCTCTCTGCCCCTCCCCTGCTTGCGCTCTGTCTCTTTTTCTCTCTCTCAAAAACAAATAAACATTTAAATAATTTGAAACTAATAAGTAAAAGAATCTTCCTGGGGACACCTGGGTGGCTCAGTCAGTTAAGCGTCCAACTTCAGCTCAGGTCATGATCTCATAGTTCGTGGGTTCGAGCCCCGTGTCAGGCTCTGTGCTGACAGCTCAGAGCCTGGAGCCTACTTCTCTCTCTGTGTCTCCCTCTCTCTCTGTCTCTCACCTGCTCACACTCTGTCTCTCTCTCTCTCTCTCTCAAAAATGAATGAACATTAAAAAAAAAAGTTAACATGAGTGGTGTGGAGAGGGTGGAGTGTATGGGCTAAGGAGGCAAACACATTTGCATTTGAATCCTGGTTCAGACATTTATACCTACGCGATTATTTTTATTTTATTTTATATTATTTTATTTTATAGTTTATATTTTATATATTATATTATATTATATTATTTTATATTTTATTTTATTTTATATTTTATATTTTATTATTTTATTTTATAGTTTATATTATTTTATTTTTTATTTTATATTATATTATTTTATTTTATATTTTATATTATTTTATTTTATTTTATATTTTATTTTTCATTTTATTTTATATATTCTATTCTATTCTATTCTATTCTATTTTATTTTATTTTATATTTTATATTATTTTATATCTTATATTATATTATTTTATTTTATATTATATTATTTTATATTTTATATTATATTATTTTATTTATTTATTTTTTCAACGTTTATTTATTTTTAGGACAGAGAGCGACAGAGCATGAACAGGGGAGGGGCAGAGAGAGAGGGAGGCACAGAATCGGAAACAGGCTCCAGGCTCCGAGCCATCAGCCCAGAGCCTGACGCGGGGCTCGAACTCACAGACCACGAGATCGTGACCTGGCTGAAGTCGGACGCTTAACCGACTGCGCCACCCAGGCGCCCCTATTTTATTTTATTTTAGAGAAAGCGTGTGTGAGTGGGGGAGAGGAGCAAAGGGAGAGAGAGAGAGAGAGAGAGAGACAATGTTAAGGAGGCTCCACGCTCAGCACAGAGTCCCATGTGGGGCTTAATCTCATGACCTTGGGATCATGGCCCGAGGTGAAATCAAGAGTCAGATGCTCAACCGACAGAGCCACCCAGGTGCCCCAATCCATATGATTTTTTTTTTTTAATAAAATAAAGCCTTTACTTTGGAATAATTGTAGATTCCCAGAAAAGTTTCAGAGATGGTCTCTTTCCCCATTTCGTCTGCTGTTAACATCTGACATTACCATGGTACAGTTGTCAAAACTAAGAAACCAACTTTGGTACATGACTATTAACTGAACTCCAGATTTTATTCGGATTTCACCAGCTTTCCCACTAATGTCCTTCTTCTGGTCCAGGATCCAGTCCAGGATCTCACGTGGCACGTTGTCCTCGTGTCTCCTTGGTGTCGGCCGGTCTACACCACTTTCTCCATCTTTCCTTGGTTTCCATGACCTTAACAATTTTAAGGAGTCCTGGTCAGAATTTTGTTAAACTGTCCCTCTATTTGGGTTTATCTGATGTTTTTCTTATGACTGGGCAGAAGTTATGGGTTTGAGGGAAGAATACCTCAGAGGCAGAGTGTTCTTCTCGTCACATGATCTCAGGAGGCACATCGTGTCCACGTGACTTAGTCCTGGTGATTTAACTTTGACTATATGGTTAAGCTGGTGCCTGCTAGGCTTTCCCATCGTGAAGTTAGTATTTTCCCCCTTTCCTTTTTTTGTGTTTTTTTTTAAAGATTTTTAAAATTTAAATTAAAAATTTTAAAGTTTATTTATTTAGAGAGAGAGAGAGAGAGAGAGTATACAAGCAGGGGGAAGGGGCAGAGGGAGACAGAGAGAATCTCAAGCAGGCTCCACACTGTCGGTGCAGAGCCCAATGCAGGGCTCGAACTCCTGAACCGTGAGATCGTGACCTGAGCCCAAATCAAGAGTCAGACGCTTAACTGACTGAGCCACCCAGGCGCCCTGATTTTTATTTTATCTATTTTAATGTTTATTTATTTATTTTGAGAGAGAGAGTGTGAAAGGGGCAAGGGCAGAGAGAGAGGGAGACAGAGGATCAGAAGCAGGCTCCGTGCTGATAGCAGAGAGCCTGATGTGGGGCCCGAACCCACAAACCGTGAGATCGTGACCCGAGCCTGAAGTTAAATGCTTAACCAACTGAGCCACCCAGGCGCCCTGATTTTATTTTTTTCAGTAATCTCTATACCCAACATGGGGCTGGAACCCCAACCCCGAAATTAAGAGCCACACACTCTACGGACTAAGCCAGGCAGGCACCCCTGTTTTCCCTTTCCATACTCTGTTCTTTGGAAGCAAGTGGAACCCACACTCAAGGCATGCTCCCGATTCCTGGTGGATATATCTACATGTATTACTTGGGGTTCTTCTGTAAGGAAGATTTGTTCCTTTTCTCTACTTATGTAATCAGTCATTTGTTATAAAGGCATGTACCTATGCTTTTATTCATCTTTCCTTTGAGTTATAATTAAATACTAAGCTATGTATTTTATTCAAATTCTTCCAACTTTGGCCATTGGGAGCTTTTTGGGCTAGGCTCCTGTGTCTGTTTGACACCCCCTTTTCCTTTTGTTTCTTGAGCACTGCCTTACTTCCTGGCACTATGAGATGCTCCGGGATCACCTTGTATTTACCTGCCTGAGTGCGAGAATCAGCCATTTCTCTAAGGAGTATAGTGTCTTCTATTGGAGAGTGGTATTTAGAAACCAAGATCTGGGCACTGCGTGTGCTCATTGCTATTGAGGTGTCACTGCTTCTAGGCCCTCCCATTGGACAGAGGTAGGAAATCTATCATCTATCATCTCTCTCTCTCTCTATCATCTATCTATATCATGTGATTTTAAGTAAGATGCTTAATAACTCTAAGGCTCTGTTGCCACATCTTCAAAATGGGGGTGGTGATAGTAATGCCTGCTTCATGGAGTCTCTGTGAATCGACACGGTGCC